TGAAGCACGTGGTGGTGATTGAGATCAGCCCAAGCGTCTTCATATGCCTCCTGAGCGCCTCCTTGACCATCGGCTTGGTTCCGATGTCCACAACCTGCTCCTTCGTATTTACCTTCTCAACCTCCATCTCTCCGTCGCGTACCAGATCTTGATGCCATATCCACCTCGTTTGTAGATGCCTGACACGTCCAACTCCGTGTCTGTGAATCATACCTTTCGTCGCTGCTGCCGAATCCGTCTGTAAAACCAGGGTTATCTGAACCTGCTCGTTCCTCATCTGCGCCATCTCTTGCAGCACGTGCTTGTCCCCTGGCTGTGCCTGAACCCATCGCATAGAACTCCGACTCTCCACTCGATAACGCCACCGTCGCCTGAGACAGAACCCAACTTTCCAGAAGGTGAACTCCCAATCGGACTCCTCCGGATGAAACACTCTTGCACGTCGCCTCCAGTCCTGCCCAGTCCGCGTCGGTCGACACTGTCACCTTGAACGCGGCCTCTTGGTACGGGTCGAACATCACTATGTCCGCTGTCCCCTTCAAGTACCGTACCAGCCTCTTCTGCCTCAGGATGTGCTTCACCCTCGGATCGTTAAATTGACAACTCTGCTCTCGAACAGCTTCTTGGATATCCCATCGGTCTCTTGCCATATACTGAGCAATGCCTCCACACCTGCCATATATCATAGCGCTCTGCCGTCCAACTGGGTCTTCAGATTCACGAACGCCCTTCGCAGTGTGTTTTGAACTCGGTGTCTCCGCCAGCTTCGCCTGCTGTAAGTCGTACAACTCCACCATCTTCAGGATCAGTTTCGGGTCGGGTAAGATACCGAAGCCCCCCTCGGCACAGAGCAGCGTCCTGTTGAGAAGCGTACCTTCCGCCGCTCCACCTGGTCCCACTCGAGGTTGTGGCTTGACCTTGAATCTGCTCGCCATCAGCTCATCGAACTCATCCAGTTCCTCATCGTAGGCCTCCACCACAAAATCGTCTCCATGTCTATCGCATAGAGAGTCCTTTCCAGGGTGGTAATACAAGCAACACACCGTCTTTAACTCCTCATACCCGTGATGCTTGAAATTGTCTCGAACTTCCCCTTGAAATAACATCCATGCTTTTGGCGTCCCATACATGGCCTTCGTCAACTTCCACAGCATACCTGGCCGCCGTTGCTCTGGTGGTGGCCAGCAGTACTGAGGCTCCTTCAGCGACGCGTGGACGAACGCGACTGATATGTCGTAGAGCCCGAGCTTCTTCTTACGTGTGTCCGTTGACCTCAAAGAAGTTACCCGTGATATAACCAATTTGATTGCCCATAGTGCGGGTGTCCTTGCGAAATTCGTGGGGTCGGTTCCGTCACTATACCTTCTGTGAACGCATCTGCTCCTCACGATCCACTCACCCGTTTGTAAGTCGTACTTCTTGCGGTCGATCCATTTGGTGTCGAACGGCTGCATCCAATCCTCGAACGGTACCCATTCGACAACCTCGAACTCTTCCATGCTCTTCATCTCCTTCGTCCTTCCGTTGACGACCAGCCCCTTAAGCAACTCTTCTCCTGTATATGCGTCCCTGTAAACTCCATCTCCAACCAGCTTCTCGTAGTTAATCCTTGGCTCGATCTCTTCGCAGACGTTCGGTCTTCTTCCTTCGTGATCGACATGCTGATACCTATCTCCATGGGCTCCTCCAGCCTTGGTGTCGTAGGTGCTACACCTCCGCCTGCTACGATCGCGTTACTTGTCATCTCCGCGTCCATATCCTGTACTCCGCCGAAGTGGTGACCCACAGGCGTACCTGGAGCTCGTGGCCCTGCTGTCTCCAGTCGTGGTTCTTGAGCTTGGGCCTCCGCGGGTGGCGTGCTCGATGCCTCGCGCCGCCCCCACAATGATCTCGTCACTCTCGTCACGTCTACCCAATAAGATACCTTCACCCCATCTCGGCTCCAGCTTGTAATAGTCCTGAGCCTGGATCGTGTAGTCGATCGTCTCGCCTATCTTCCCCAGCTCTGACTTGAACTTGGCACGTCCCAGTCGCTCCCAAGCTGTCCTGCCGTCCGTCGTGATCGCGAACCTTGTGAGCAAGTAACCCACGTGTCTGACCAGCCACGGCATGATCAAACTCTTCGGTCCGATCTTCACGCCCAGGTTCGTTTCCAGCTCGCTGTGCAGCGTCCGTAACAGTTACTCCACTTTCTCGACTGCGTTTTCGATCGCCCCGTTGCTCTGATGTGACCCTTTCGGTGCCTTCTCCACTCGTGTGCTGTGCTTCCTCCCATTCTTCACCGCCGTAATCACTGCCTGTAGTGATGCCTCTTGGCCGCCCTTCAGTATGATATCCGCTGAGCCCCAGACGTCGATGTACAACTCCACAGCTGAATTGACGTACTCGCTGGGCCCCTTGTGACTCACCATGATCGCCGCTACGCAATCCCCTGGCTTCTGAACCATAACCAAGATCGTGACCATGTCCGTCTCCGTCTCAGTGTTCACGAAGCAGTAATCCAGGCTGATCACGGGTACCGTCGGCGCTTCGTCGGGATTAGCCTTCATGTGACCATCCTCTATACCTCGGCCCGAAAGACACCACTTACACCAGTCACGACACGGCACATGAGTCCTCTCGTGGATGGCGATCTCCTCCGCTGTCGGCTCGTATCTCTCCTTCTTTCTCTTGGGCAGCTGCGCCTCCTCGCTCTCCAGCGGCTCTGGGGGTTCTGGTACTTGCTCTTCGGCCTCTGGTAGTGGGCACAGCGATCGCGCGTCCACGTCGAAGCTGTAGATACAACGCCTCTTCGAGATCTTGAGCGACTTGTTACCTTCCTTCTTTATCAGCTCCTTGATCTTCTTGCTCATCGTGGGGTTGAGCACTGCGCCTCCATCGTCATCGAACCACACGCCCTGTGATCCCTTCGTCAGGTCGCTGACTGCCATGATCGTCTTGTGTACGTCTCGGACGTCGAACTGACCTCGTATCGGTTGCTTGGTGCCAGATGCTTCCATACGTACCGTCCTGCATCCATCGGCATAGATCTTGGTACCATCCGCTTGTCGTAGTGGTGGTGCTTCTGAATCTTCATGCGGGATCTGTGGTGCAAAACCTGCTGGGCATACACTTCTCGCCGCGCATGAATCAACCATAACTTCGATCTTCCCGTCGTCATCCTGGTAAAACTCAGTTATCGGAATCAGAACGCTCTTGTCATTCTCGTACTCGTCGTAATTGGGCTCCTTCTCCGTCTCCTCATTTTGATGCAACTTCTCATTGTGATCGAACTCCTCGTCCTCGCTAGCCTCGATCATGAAGATGTAGCCCTCCTCGGCGTCGTAGCCTGGACCCTAATAACTAACATCCTTGTCCGTGGGCTTGGGAGTCGGCGTCTTCGTCTTATCATTATTGTCCTTGCCTTTGCCTTTGCCTTTACTGATCCTTCGGAGCTCGTCTTGATTGATCTTACCATCCTTCATGTCCTGCGTTGCCTTCCTGCATTCCTTGAGCGTGTGACCTTTCTTCAAGCAAAACTTGCACTGTGGGATGCCACTCTGGTCATAGCCCTTACCTCTGTTGTCTTTGCCTTTACTGCTCTTACTCTTGCCGTCCTTGCCCTGCTTACCAAACGTCAGCGCGTCTAAATCCATCGGCGCAGGTCCGTTGAGTGCCAGCGCCGCCTGTTTTGATCTCAAGTAGTTCAGCACCTCTGCTCTCACCAACGCGTACGTAGTGAACCTCGTCGCATTCAACATCAGGTGCTCTCTCAGCTTCTGCGGTGCTAGGCGAGTGCTGATCACTGACTTCTTGATCGACTCCATCACCTTCTCTCCTGTTTGCTCCTCATGCCTCTGCACCATAGTCTCCCATGAAACGATGCCCTTGATCGGGTCATGCTCCTGCATCATCGGGTCTAGTATCGCATCTAGCATGTCTGAGAACCGGGAGAGAACCTTCGGCTCGAACTCAACACACAACAATCTCCATGCTTCCAGTGCCTCTCCAGCCGCAACACTCTTCAATATGCCCTGCGCCCTGTCCTTGTAGGTCAGGACTAGTATGTAGTATAAGTTCGTGTTCACTCTCTGTGCATCCTCATCCAAATCTCCGTGTTCGATCGGCTCAGCATTTGCCTTCGCCGCATCACGCATCAACTCTGCCATATGCGGGTCCACCGCCATGCTGTAGGCTGACAGGACAAAGCTCCAATTCTCCCACGTAATTCCATCTCGATACTTCGCATTCTCATCTAACTCTCCTGAGAACCACTCTGGCTTGCCGAGCAGCTATGTATCTACGAGAGACTCTCTAATAGGCGCTCTCTGGTGATCTTCTTGAGCTCCCTGGTCTACTCCTGTCGCTGCTGCTCGTGCCTCCTGCAACTGTAACTCCAACGTCGCGATCTGCTCTCTCTGCTGGACCACAAATCCTTCCATAGCCACAGCGCGAGCCAATACATCTTGCAGTGAGGACATCTATGCGCGAGAACGCTGGAGCCTGGCCGTGGGCACAACCAGGCTCCGCTACCATGCGGAATGGCGGAGCCTCTGGATTCCTTTTCCCTTGAGCCAAATATCACAGTACAATATCTGGTCTCAATCTATGTGAAACCCTGCAGATAGCCACATTTTGAAAACTTCCTGCCCTCCATCCGTGAAGCCCTTGCAAATTTTGAACAGGAATGTGTGCGGCGCTCAGGTGAGAGCCACGGTTTGCAAAGGACTCGCCCTCCTTCTGTAAAGTTGTTGCTAATTTCGAGCTTCAGGATCACAAGTGGTGAGGAAGTCTCAGGCGAAACGCCTGGCCCGCCCTACCGACACTTCTCGGGGTGCGACATGGAGGTATTTTTCATAAGGAAAGCGGTTGGAGGCGGAGGAGGAGGAGGAAGAGAAGGAGGGGGAGGAGGAGGAGCAAAAGGAGGGGGCGGAGGAGGAGGAGGAGGAGGAGGAGGAGGAGGAGGAGGAGGAGGAGGAGGATGAGAACGGAGGACGGAGGGACCGCACCCGCGCGGCCAGGATACGAAGGCGCCTGGCCGGACCAGGAGGCCGCGGCTGCACAGCCTGGAGATCATCGGCTGCAGGCTGCTGCAGGCGCTCTCCCCCCTCATCGTGGGGCGCCGCCAGGGCCTGACGGGCCGGCGTCGTCGACCGCCGCCAGGCTTTCTTCCCTGCCGACCTCGCCCCGGGCTCGGACCTCTTCGCGTTGTGGTTTTCGGAGGAGATGAGGAGGAGGAGGAGAAAGAAAAATAAGAGGAAGAGGAAGAGCAAGAGGAAGATGAAGGGGATGAGGATGAGGATGAGGATGCCGATGATGATAGTGGCAATGAGTGATGATGATGATGAGGATGAGGAGGACAAGGAAGATGACCAGTGTAAACTCAAGACTCATCAAGGTTGTTGAAGTTCATCATCCCTCCAAGATCCCTCTCCGCAGGCCCCATATAAGCGGTCTTTTCCACTGAGGGAATTGCCCAGTTGAGAGACAACCGTGTGAACATTTTGATTCGTACCAACGCACCATTCTCAGGACGTGAACGCCACGACTTCACCTGACTGTTACGTTTCGGGGATCCGGAATCGTGCCAGACACCGCGAATCAACGTACCTCTTGCGACTTGACAATCCTGAATGGTTCCAGAGGTCATTTCCCGTACGTTAGCCATAAGAGTCAGTGAAGCTCTTGCAGATGTTTAAAGCGAATGTGCGTGGCGCTAAGGCGAGAGCCACATGTTGAAAAGGAGCCGCCCTCAATCCGTGAAGCTCTTGCAAGTTTTCAAAGCGAATGTACGCGAGGCTAAGGCGAGAGCCACATTTTGAAAGCGACCCGCCCTCAATCCGTGAAATTCTTGCAGTCTTCTTGAAAACGAGTGTGCGCGGCGCTAAGGCGAGATATACATTTTGAAAACTGCCCACCCTCAATCCGTGAAGCTTCTGCAAATTCGGTTGAACGAATATGCGCTGCGCTTGTTGCGAGAGCCACACTTAAAACACCATCCGCCTTCAATCCGTGGAACCTCTTGCAATATTATTCAAACGAATTTGCGCGGCGCTAAGGTGAGAGCCACATTTTGAAACCACTTGCTTTCAACCCTTAAAACCCTTTCAAGTTTTGAATCGAATGGGCGCGGCGCTAAGGCGAGAGCCATATTTTGATGAAAAAACCCGTCCTCAATCTGTGAAGCTCTTGCAAGTTTTCACAACGAACGTGCGTGGCGCTTGTTGCGAGAGCCACATTTTGAGAACCACCCGCCCTCCATCCGTGAAGCTCTTAGTTTGAAATAGAAGGTGCGCGGCGCTTGTTGCGACAGCCACAATTTGAAAACCACCCGCCCTCAATCCTTGAAGCTCTTATCGCTGAGGCGGAAAGCATCTGTTGAAAGCTACCTAATCTCAATCCGTGAAGCTCTTGCAGTTTCTTTGACGAATGTGCGCAGCGCTAAGGCGGGAACCACATTTTGCAAGCCGCCCGCCCTCAATCCGTGAAACTTCTGCACATTTTGAAACGAATGTGCGCGACGCTTCTTGCGAGAGCCACATTTTGAAATGCGCCCGCCTTCAATATGTGAAGCTCTTGCACATTTTGGAAGCGAATGTGCGCGGCGCTGAGGCGAGTTCCACATTTTGAAAGCCACCCTTCCTCAATCTGCAAATCTCTGGCAATCTTTTTCATGGAATGTGCGCGGTGCTTGTTGCGAGAGCCACATTTTGAAAGCGACCCGCTCTCAATCTGTGAAGCTCCTGCTAGTTTTCAAAACGAATGTGCGCGGCGCTTGTTGCAAGAGCCACATTTACCACCCGCCCTCCATCTGTGAAGCTGTTGTCACTTTTAGCATCAGGGTCACAAGTGGCGAGGACGTCTCAGGCGAAACGCCTGGCCCGCCCTTTCGACAGGCCTCGGGATACGACCGGCAGGAGTTATCCATAAGGAAAGAGAGGAAGGGAGGGCGGGAGGGAGGGAGGAAGGAGGGAGGTGCAGGAGGAAGGTGGGGAGGATCGTGGTTAGAGAGACCCGAAGGTTTTTGAGGATTTTGTGATTTTCACTGATTTTCGTTGATTCTGGGAAGCGACTGCGCCTCGCTTAGAGCTTTCTGGGTTTGCCTGGTTGCCTGACTCGTTTCGCGCGGCTGCTGGAGGCCCGAGTTGTGGACCGGCAGCGGCTCCCTCGCGTCGCGAGCAGCTCTTCTCGTCCTCGTCCTCCTTCTCCTCCTCCTTCTCCTCCTCCTCCTCCTCCTCCTCCTCCGCCCCGACCCTCGACGCAGTCATTTTTTCAATCAATGTGGACCTCTGGAAGTTCTGACACCTTCTCAAGAGCCGCTTTCTCATCTGGGGTGTCGTTTCCCGACGGTCGCGGAGCCTGGCACGGGCTACCGAAGGCAGTAAATAGTCAAACATCTTCCGTCATGATGCTTTTCGACGAGAGGAAAGTCGGCTCTCGGGCCACAAATCGGGTCTCCAGCGGCAGTTCGCAACGAGTTGGGTACCCCCAGAACGCTCCCGGCGAGGCACAGTTGCTGGAAAGCATCTCGAGGCGAGAACACCTCCAAGAGTCAACCAGAAATTCAGAAAACCTCCGAAGACATGAGCGTCGCGAGGGGAGGAGTTCCTCAGGATGCAACTCCTGGGAGGTTACCTTCAGCATCGGCACTGGTGTATCCGTGGTCGAAAACTGGCCTAATCTGGCATCATCCGCTTACCGAAGACGCTTACGGCGAATCACCGCCGCCCCCTGCCTTTTTGGAAGCGCCTATGTGGCCGAACGTTGAGGCCAGATCTGTTAAGCTATCGGATCATGTGTTCCCCGAATCGGTTTGGAAAGCCTTCCGTGAACACGTGGGCATCTTGAAGGTTCTCTTGGCCGTCTGGAGGCCATTTTGACACTTTCGGGACTTCTTGGAGGACGTCTTGGAGGACTTGGGCCGTCTTGGAGGCCATCTTGAGCGTCTTGGAGGCCTCTTGGGCCGTCTTGGGGGCCTCTTGGGGCCGTCTTGGGCCTCTTGGGCGATCTTTGGGGGCTCTTGGGCCGTCTCGGGTCGTCGGAAGGCCGACAAGAAGCAAATGCCACAATCCTTCAAAAACTCATGGGAAATCAATGATTTTGGCTTTTTCGGGCCTTCCTGGAGGCCCTCTTGGAGGCCTCTTGGGACGTCTTGGGCCATCTTTGGGCCATCTTCGGCCGTCTTGGTGGGCTCCTGGCCCGTCTGACGCCGTCAGAAGCCGTTCGGGGGGCCTCTCTGGGCCGGCTTGGGGCCCTCTTGGGGTGCTCCAGGGCCGTCTTGGAGGCCATCTTGGGCGTCTTAAAGGCCTCCTGGGCCGTCTTGGGGCCGTCTTGGGGCCGTCTTGGGGGCCTCTTGGGCCGTTCTGGGGCCATCTTGGAGCCCTCTTGCGCGATCTTGGGCGATCTTTGGCGGCTCTTGGGCCGTCTCGGTCAGTCGGAAGGCCGAAAAGAAGCAAATGTCAAAATCCTTCAAAAGCCTAAGTAAAAAATGTGTTTTTGGCCTTTTCTGGCTTTCCTGGAGGCCCTCTTGGAGGCCTCTTGGGCCGTCTTGGGCCATCTTGGGGCCATCTTCGGCCATCTTGGTAGGTTCCTGGCACGTCTGCGGCCGTCGGGAGCCGTCTTGGGGGCCTCTCTGAACCGACTTGGGGTCTTCTTGGGGCGCTTCAGGGCCGTTTTGGAGGCCATCTTGAACGTCTTGGAGGTCTCTTGGGCCGTCTTGGGGCCCTCTCTCTTGGAGGCCTCTTGGGCCGTCATGGGGCCCTCTTGGAGGCCTCGTGGGCGATCTTGGGGTGATCTTTGGCGGCCTCTTGGGCCGTCTTGAGCCGTCGGAATGCCGAGAAGAGGCAAATGCCAAAATCCTTCAAAAACCTAAGGACTATTCATGATTTTGGCCTTTGCGGGCCTTCCTGGAGCACCTCTTGGAGGCCTCTTGGGCCGTATTGAGGCCTCTTGGGCCGTCTTGGGCCATCTTGAGGCTATCTTACGCCATTTTGGGTACATCTTGGGCCGTCTTGGAGGCATTTTGGGGCCATCTTAGCCGTTTTGGAGGCCATCTTGGCCGTTTGGGATGCATCTTGGAGGCCATCGTGGGCCGTCTTGGAGCCGTATGGACTAGGAAAAACCCTTCGGAACCGGGTCGTGGCAAGTTTTCGGCATCTTTTCGGGTGGCCGGCGGGACGCGCCGGAGGCCCAGGGGGAGTTCTTTTGGAAAAAGAACCCAAACCGAAAGGGTCTAGCACGCCAGGCACCCCTGCGATGAATCGACAGAGGGCGGTTGATCCGGCTGCCTGCGGCAAGTCCCGTCACCGTGCCAGCCCAGTATTCTGGGTGGTGGCTGTTTGAGGGGGCACGGGAGGCCGTCATCTCTGATACCTTATGTCTCCAGGCTTGAGAGCAGTGATGAGGATGATGAGGATCATGAGGATGACGGGGATGACGATGATGTTGCTGCTGATGATGATGTTGATGACATGACGACGAGGACGATGATGATGGTGATGATGCTGATATTGATGCTGATGATGTTGGTGATGATGCTGATGATGATGCTGATCATGGCGCTGCTGCTGCTGAGGATGCGGATGATACTGACGATACTGATGACCATGCTGATTTTGATGATGGCGATGCCGATGCTGATGATGTTACTGCTGCTGCTGATGATGATGATGCTGATTATTGTGATGCTGATGCTGCTGATGATGGTGATGATGATGGTGATGATGATGGTGATGATGATGGTGATGTTGATGGGGATGGTTATGGCGATGATTATGCTGATGATGATGACGATGATGAGGACGAGGACTATGCCGATGATGATGCTGCCAATGATGATGGTGATAATGGTGATGATGATGCTGATGACATGACGGTGAACAGATGACGATCCAAATATCCAATGATGCTGATGATGAATATGCTGACGATGCTGCTGATGACGATGCTGCTCATGATGATGCTGATGATGATGCTGCTGCTGATGATGATGATGATGATGCTAATAACGATGATGCTGCTGCTGCTGCTGATAAAGTCGATTTTGATGATGCTGATGATGAGGATACTGATGTCGATGCTGCTGATGGTGGTGGTG